CCTATATTTAATTGAGCGGTTGGGGTGTGTGATAGACTTACCTCCACCTGCTGCACCCTGGGCAACGTATACTCAAAGGACGAAAAAGTCTATTAACCGGCAGTTGACTTCCGACTTCAAAACACCATCCCCTCACTGTATGTCATATTCGACTACTTCCACAGTACTCACCTCACCTTTTTCACTTTACCTTTGTGTCTGTCACTTTTACATCTTTGAAATACTCTTCTGTTCCCCCCTCCCCCTCTCGACTTTTTTTCACTTTTATGTTCCTTCCTCTCCGTGAAGCCTGAAGTCAACTAAATGGCTTATGATAACTATCAAAATGCCTGCCATTTGATATAAATAAATTAATTGAGGGGTTCTAGAGCGTGAAATATTTGACCATCTGATATTTCTATTTGCAGTAAAAAGGTTTTTTCATATCAAGGTTATTTTTTTATCTCAATCGACTGCAAAACGTTTTTGATTTAGTCAACAATTCATTTGAATGAGGAAATTCAAGCTTTAAAACGCAAAGTACAGGAGAAGGAGGTAAAAAATAAAATCAATGCTAAAACTTCTGGCTGGGAAGTTACTAACATAAATGTCGAGATCTCAGATCAGAATGGCATCGCAGAATTCAACTGTTTCGCACTGCGTAGAGTACTTATGTATTGAAATAGTGATAGTGTTTATGTGTTTCACTTTAAGGCATATTTGTGTATGTATGGAAAATGGAAAGCACAGTCATTTATAGTAAACTGAGTTTAAAGAAGTGGAATAGAATCGGTGATCGGGCGTGTTATTCTCATGACTCATTGGTATTATGGTGGTGTACGAAATTTCCAAACTCCTTCCTCACCCGGTAACCACGGTAATTGGCCTGGATTTTACGGGCTGCTTCATTGTACTTCTGTTCGTCATATCGAGGAATAGGAGCTGTTTGAGAGCGCATGTTTTTGCGGACACGATAACCACGGAAAGCAGCTTGAATTTTTGTGGCAGCTTCATCTCCAGAGATTTGAGGAGAGTAACAGGGACTACTTCCACCACTACTATGAAGTTCGCCCAAATGAGAACGAACGTGGTAACCCCTATAAGCTGCCTGAATTCTAGTTGCAGCACGATTCCTTCTCTCCTCTGCATCCTCCATTGATTCATGGTCAGGTTTATTAGAAACATCACTAAGACCATGACGCTCTTCACGACTGATTTTCAGTTGCTCAAAACTGGGAGAAAAGGGCTCAGAGTGGCGAACATGAGCAAGCTCTTTGCGGGTTCGATAGCCACGGTAAGTTGCTTGAATTTTAGTGGCGGCCAGATTTGGATCGGGGTTAGATGGCTTAGTCATTTCAGTAGTGTGACCTCTCTTCTCCTGAATGTGATTCCGAGCACAATATTCGTGAAAGTGGGCTTGGACCTTTATTGATGCTTTTTCAGGGGCGTGCTGCAAAAAGATTTCATTGAAATTTCGAATTAGACTGAATTACTTAGGAAAATTCAACATTCAAAATAGGTGCATTAGTTAGAATGATGGACAACATAATTTAAACACACTTCAATGTAGAGGCAAAAATAATATATTTTACGTTTGTTTTATTTAAATTTTAAAATTAGAAAATAAGTATACAGACTGGGAAGGCTATTTTAGAAATAAAGGACTTAAAATATAATTACAGGACACACGGTTATATGACTAATACTAACATACCTGTTGTTAAACGTCATAAATCATAATACAAAGTAATTACATCTAGTTTTAAGGAAATGCAAACCTTGCTATTTAAAGATGCATTTGGTAAGAGAAATTATTAATCAAGCTATTTAAAAGTGGAAGAAAATCAAGCGTGATTCTTCTTTGATAACATTTCTTTTTCAATTAACGAGATTGATTTACTTACAAGTTGACTCGGCATTGTTTCAACTGAAAGCGTGGACGAAAATGGAAATTATTTTGGATTTCAGAATATGCATAAAATAGAATTGTGGTAACTCGTTATGGTACCAGAGTACACATTTTAGCGTTTTAATTGTTATCCACACAAAAATAATCGAGACATGAAAGTCCAAATCGTTTGATATTTAAGATTCGAATGTTAATAGCACCAAACAAAGACTTATTACCTGCATCCATTTTGCACTCTAAGGGACGAATTTTGAAAATTCTATGTGCGAGAGGTTTTGACTAATTCGGAGGGCTATATAGCACACCAGATTTGGAAGCACTTGACCTTGGTACCGTAATTACTAATACATGCTAGAGGAAACTTTTTTATTACCTTAAATACTTTACACCGGGTGGGCAGATGTGCAAAATCACTCTGGTGTTACGTGATTGAGCGAATTCTCCTTGTCTTAGCCTTAACAAAGCTCTAAACAAATGAATACTACTTAATCAGTTAATTTACTAAAATAAAAGCATTAGTCGTTATAAATTAATTTCAAGTATTCAATCTTCTAACATAATTGAGTTGCTTACTTTAATTATGTTGACTGTAACCTTGCAAAAGCTTCAAATAAGTGTTTAAATGAGTCAATACGGACAGGGTTTAAACAAAAAAGCCACTTTTAAAATCATCGAGAAAAATAACATTAAAGAAGGACAGGAATTCGAATCGAAAAGCCCTAAAATATAGGTGGGCATGCTTGAGAGCATTTAGGTCTCCCTTTCAATTTTAATTAAAACCTTTTTAAAAATAATAAAAAGAAAACAATAAGTTATACCCTAAGTCGCATTTCATTGTTTCTACTTAGGATATTTAGTTACAATCACTGGCTATTTGGGGTAATATAAGAACTGAATTCTGTGAAATATTGATTTTGGTCAATTGGAGATAAACATAAGAATGCTGTTCAAAGATGTCAAATTGTAGTTTCGAACCGCGCTTTTTAACAATCAAATGTTATAATTAATCATACGAAACAAGTCGGCTCCAGAAATTCCAAAATATTTTTTACTGTTCCCAAGAAGGTAGTAGATCTGGAAGCATTTTAAATTTAGTTGATGAATTTTAATAGCAAATTTAAATTAGTAAAGCATATTTGAAATTGTAGGTAAAATTCAGTCAAAAATAGTATAAGACGTTAAAAAAGACTTATTTCGAAAAGAATTAGCAATATTCAAATGGAAGCTGTGTTATTCAAACCTGTATTTGAAGCTAAGGAACCTATAAGACACACATCAGTTTAACATCGTACTCTGTAATGAAAAATACACGACTACATAAATAAACGAATCAGTACTTAAATCCTCGAAGGATATGATTTTCAGTTTCCAAAACTGTTTTCTCCTGCAAGCGTGAAAACTGCTTAATCCAAAAAACTTTAGAAACTGAATTTCCTTCATCCAATAAGACTGCAATACAGTACAGTGTAAATGCAATTAAGAGTATTCTTTGCTTTTAACGGGCCAAATGGAAGATCTAAATTTTGCGGGCATTTCCACATTTCAATTCTCAATTGCAATATTTCAAATTGCAAAGGTAAGAGAAGAAGGCGTCGTTAGACCACCTCCATTACAAACTTAAGCAAAACGCAACAATTTACTTCCAATACTGAAATAAAATAGTTCGACAACGTACCTTTTTTCAGCAATATTGCAGACTGTTGAATTAACCTTGAATTTAAGTATTCCGCGTGGTGTTTTACAGGCGATTGAAGAGTGGTTTTAGTTTCCTTCACCGGCGAACAAGGGTGCAGCGATTAGTGACTTGTTCTTGGGGCAAATAAACGTAAGTTGCAATGGAAAAGGTAGAAGCAAATTAAGTTGCACACAGTAATTTCCAACATTAGCCACTCAGAGAGCGTCATCCATGCACGCACCGCCTAACCCACTTGCACATGCACGTACGCTTGCCCGAGTGGCCAACTCATAAGCACGTTAATGTTTCTGTCGAAGAAGATGTGAAGGTCATTTTTTCACGGCATTGCTTCTGCAGTAAGTTGGGCGTACAACCAACTCTAAGGATTGGAGTTAGGAAGTGAGGCAAATTAAAAGGAGTGCCAAACTCACCTCCTATTCAAACACAGCAGATTTATAATTTCCGAAAATTTGTGACGTCCTGTCAAACGCACTTTACGGTGAAGCATGAAAGTGGGTGAAACCCAGAGAGGAATACCCCGAACGATTTGGAGGATTTCAAGGTTACCAGTTATTGGTGGTAAAGATAGCAAGTTCAAGAGGTAGGGGTATTGTAGTTTGCAGTACTTTTCTAGTTCCAGAGTCCACATATTCAAATGCCTCATGTTATTGCTGTTGAAGTGAGTGTCTCCACAGACAATAGTGTCCATATATTCTATATGGCACTTGAATTAGGTTTACTTCTACTTTAAATCCCTTAAATTGATTCACGAAATTCTTGGGACTCCTTTCAATTCAAAATCCCCTGGAATCACACTTTCCCAGCCAGTGTTATTTTCACCAGGTCTGCTGCATATTAAAAAATAATTGATGAGGGCATAAATTGAACAACGTCGGCTAAGCTGTTTGAAAGTGTTATTATCAACTCAAAACGAAATCACAAAAAGGTGTATTGACAGAATTTAAGTTAAATATTTAATGATTAAAAGCTAATTGTTTGTTAGAAAAGTGGCTAATTCAAATTATGTCACTTAGATGACATAACACAGGCATAACTTTAAGAAGTCCGTGCATTTAGTGAAATTTAGTTCACTTCTTCAAAAAGTTTGTTTATTTATACAAATGGCAGGCTTTATAATATTTATCATTAGCTCTTTAGTTGACTTCAGGCTTCACAGAGGGGAAGGAACATCAAAGTGAAAAAATTCGAGAGGGGGGGGGGGAAACAGAAGAGTGTTTCAAAGATGTAAAAGAGACAGACACAAAGGTAGAAAGAAAGGTGAGGTGGGTACTGTAGAAGTATTCGAATATGACATACAGTAAATATCGAAGGAACCAATTGCACAAACGCATAACACCAAACCAAAAATGTACCTCAAAGTTGCAGTCTTGATGATTTGTCACTGGGTAAGATATTATCAAACGTTGCCTATAAATGATTCTCCACAACCACCGATATATTACGCACACCACCTTTGACCAGTTTGCAGTCATTCAGTCAGGCGGGGTTTTGACCCTTAAACATCATCGACAACTCCATAAAATGTACCGTACTTCTTATATTCTCCTTGTTCAATCGATAAAACATCTTGGAGACATTGCACTTCTCTCGTATCTTTCCCCAGGACTACGTCAACTGCAGCCAAATGTTATCTAGTGGATTGGTAGATTATAATAGCAAAAAACTAGGCATTGTAACATTACAATAGTTTATGGGAAATGAAATTTGTAAAGGAATATGTAAAGCATTCATTCTACTACTCCACATAATGAAAATTAATTCTCGTTACAGTAATTATTGTAATCATTTGCAAAGGGCACAGTGTGATAGTCAAGTATTGGTCAGTTGGGTAATTCGCAGACGTTTTAAAAATAGATTGAATTCTTTCACAAGAAATTTGATCCCCCCCTGTGAACAATAATCTTCGTCTGTCAAAGTGCAGGCTTAACAGCGCACACAACAAAAGTATTGCTGCAGAATGCTGAAGGGAAATTCTCTCTCCCCACCCCCCAACCCCCCCCCCTTCTCCTCTCCTTCTTACAATGTTTAATTTATTCACTTACTTGTTTTAATTGTGCAGAGGCGAATAACGCTACCTAGTTCAATTGCTTCAGATCTAGAATGTTCTACATTTACTTAATCCTCATGTATTTGTTTAATGCAAACAATAATAATACGTATGGGGTACTCATACGGCAAAAAGTCTATTAACTGGCAGTTGACTTCCCATTTCAAACTACCATCACCCCACTCTATGGCATATTCGACCCCTTCCACAGTATTCATCTCACCTTTTCTCTGCCTTTGTGTCTGCTTGACTCCTTCACATCTGTTAATCAATATTCTGTCCCTCCTCTCGACTTTTTGTCACTCTGATGTTCTTCCTCCCCTCTGTGAAGCCCGAAGTCAGCTATAGGGCTAATGATAACTTTCAAAACGCCTGCCTTTTGAGATAAATAATAAATAATAATGCGTATTGCATGCTACCAAAGCTACTCCATTCTTACCAGATTGGAAATGAAATGAAATAGGTATTGCAATATTTGCCTGTTATAAATCTAAAATGTAGGCTGAGAAGACGTAAGTAAGAAATTTTGGCAGTGAAATGTGTTAAATTAAACGGCAGAATAAACCCTTGGTCAACAAGACCCAAGGACATGCCATTGACAAAGGAAACAATAATGCATGGCCATTTTTAGAGTGAAGCTTTTGAATCCAACGAAATCTTATAAGAGTGGAACTAAAGTCAGGAGATGAAAGGTAATTTCCAGACTAAGTCAAATCTCGAACAAAAGTGGTATTTACATATTGAAAGACAGATGAAAGAAACACGGAATTTGAATTTTCCGACATGGGTTGCAAATTTTTCACCTACTGTACAATTCGAGTCACAAGAAAAAACGAAGAAAGACTTTGACTCCTCTAC